AACAAAGTTATTCAAACTGTGCCAGAATTCACAGCCAGCCCCAAAAAAGAGACTCTTATTCAACTGATGCCCTTTTTTGTGTAAGTATCTGTCAACTGAATATGCAGTATTCATATAAAATGTTAAGCTTTTTTCTTTGCAGTTTAATTTAAAATATAATGCCTGCATCTCTCAAATCTTTAAAACAGCATTTTAGTATAAAAAGAAGCCCATTAAAAGTATAACTGCTTTTGACATGTTTAAAGAAATGTATTATATACATATACTCTATTTTTTCTTTCCACATTTAAATGGTTGATTTAAGCAAAAAGCATATTGGACAAACATTTAAAAGCATCTAAAAAACCTGGTGCTAAAGACTCAGTGAAAGTCCCTGTGGATTTGGTTTATTTTGTTTTATTTTTTCATTCTGTATAATATACTGGCAAAAACAAATGGGATCTGACTCATTTTGAAAATGAAATTTTGAACTTTGCAATCTGTATTGATGCAATTTTGCCTATTACAGGAATAATGTTGCTGTGCCAGGTTCGGTAGATAGTTTTGTCAATGTGAAGATAGGAGAAAACCGGACATAGTTCATTACAACCACATAAAAAAAAAATCTCATTAGCAATATGTCTTACTAAGGTAGTAAAATATAGCAATCTTGCTCAAAGCACCCCTCTGCAAGTTTTCAGAATTTAGCAGAACCTCATTTAAAAAGCTAATATTAATACAGTCTGACTATTACAATATAAGCATTATCATATTAATTAATCTGTAATGAACTAATAGTATTATAATATAAGATGCAATATAATTATAATAAACATCCTTTCAGCTGCTTCCCCTGGCTCTGCCAGGCTCTGCACACGTTTGTTCCCAGCATAGCACCTGGACTCCCTACATATGGGTCCTGGTTACTGCTGTTACTCCAGGCCAATCCCACCTGAACTCCAGTCCTGGAGACAAAACAGAAAGAGCCCAGGGAGACCCAAATGACAGGGATGAAGTGTTGCATACGAGTGGCATATGGGGGTGTTGAGGGAGTTGGAAGGCTGGTGGGAGAAGTAACAGAACACAGAAGGTGAAGGCCAGGGACAGACACTCCCTCCCTGCCCCCAGTCTGTACCTGAGGGGACAAACACAGCCCCCACCACTGCAGCTGCTCCTCCAGGACTTGCTTGCCAGGGTCCAGATCCCATGGTGAGTGTACAGGGAGCTGGGGGAGGAGACAGGCTGAAAAGCTTAGCTCTTCATTGGCCCACACACCTGTGGCAGAGCATGCTGCTCAGAGCACTGGTACACAGACAGGTGGAAGGGGTCAGCTATGGGTGCCCTTTGTCTGGAAGACTCTGGGTTGAGCAGGGGAGGATCAAATGGCACACTTACATCCTTGCACAGAGGCCAAGCACCATAGCATGGTGGGGAGGGGGTTTTGCGGTACCCCAGTTAAGAATCACTGGGCATTTATACACATTTCCAGGAGTGTGTGTGTGTGGCGGGGAGGGGGTGGGTGGTGGTGCTATAATTAGAGCAGCTCTACGA